GAGCATGTCCCTGGCCGCCCCTTGTAAAGACACAGCATCGCCCGGGTACAGTTTCTGCCAGATGTGCCACATGGGCTCGTACAAGAAGAACACTTCGGAATTCTGGTTGAAAAGCTCCCCGAAAAACGACGAGCCCGACCTCCAGGTGGTCAGGACATAGATGAGCTGCCTCTTTTTTGCCAGGGAGGGCCTGTAGAGGAAGCGAATGTCAGATCTGCTCTGATAAGTGGTGCTCCTCATCTGATGATTACACTGCTGGGGCTCCTTAGTCCATTTATAATTAGCCAGGTTCAGCATGGTGAGGACGAGCAGTAAGATATAGGCCATGAATAAGACGATCCTCTTCCTGCGGAGGACTTTCATCACGATCCCGGGCTGTGCTATTATCTTGGTATGATTCCTGTAGGTTTTGAGCTTCCTCCCAAAGCCAGCATCCTTCTCCCAAGGCGCTGTCAACTTCAGTGGTTGATGGTATTGCTTGCCTCTCATCTGTGCCCCCGGAGAGTGGCTCTCACCACCGGACAAAGTTCCTCACACTGACTCTACAGGGATGTATACACACCATACACTGGCGACTGATGCAGATTTTGAACGCCGGCTGATTCGGTAATATATTCACCAGCGATTCCACATCCACAACACGATTCCCCCGTTTTCTCTGCAGTGCGCAACGTTCCTCATAGGAGCGATGGATGCGAGGATGCGTTGAAGTTGTCCACGGCGATGCGGGGACTCAGTGCGTGGCCCGTGTTGTTCAAAACAAAAAGGCAGCGGCTCTCCTCATTGGAACAGACGCCCTGTTCGAGCATGCTCGGCGGAGGCATCCCTGTGCAGTCTCCATCTCATGCATCCTTCACAAAAGAGAAAATCGCAGATCCAGAAATACCGCTGAGATTCGGCGCGTGTGGCGACGGATCAGATCATTCCGCATCTGCCATAACGGAGCAGCGGACGGCACAGCTAACACCGCTCGGTTCCAAGATTCTCCCCCCTCCTCTCTTTCTTCCTGCTCGTCTGCTCGTTCAAGTAACACAAACTGGATTCAATCAGAATACACGGTGGGGGGGGGGGGGGGGGGGGGGGGGGGGGGGGTGGAAGACCCTCCCACACTGGCGCGTCATTGGCGGCGCGCTGCTGCGTCGTGCGTCAGCGCGCTGCGCCATTGGCCCATCCGCGCGTCCGTCCCGCTGCCCCAGCCTCCTCGGTCCTCGCTCCCACGGATCACAGCAATGGAAGATAAGACTGTGGGAAGTGATGCTGTTGTTGTGTTTCACAGGGATCCACCTCAACGTGTCTGCAGCCTCATCTCCCCCCACACACACACAGACACACACACACAGACACACACACACACAAACACCAGGTGCAAGAGGAATTGAAAGCTTCTTTATTTTTCTTTAACCCCTTCTATCTCTTTCTCTTCCTCCCTCCTCTTTGTTTAAACGCCATAACTTGTTATTTCATTAAGAGTCCTGTTTAATTTACTAATGTGTGTCCCCCTCACAGTGCATGACTGCAGCAAAGAATCAATATTTCAAATTAAATGTATTTGTTTTTTTTCTCCGCTGCCGCCTCAAGAGGGAAACCCAGGTCTATAAGAGGAAAATCAGGCCCTGGACCCTGAAGGAAAAACTCAATTATTAATTAGAAATATACAATAAATTCATTGCAGAACGAATATGTTGCTGTTAGAATACCACAGAGACATTTTTGTGATTAAAGATTGAATTAATTAATGAAAATAAAGTATTTCTTTAAGGCTGCTAGACTAACGCAGTGTTATTTTACTTTTTTTCAGTTTTTTTCAATTAGTGGATGAATTGGAAACAGTCAGCAACAATAACTGACACTCCTCCAAATGGGAATCGGCTGAAATGTGACATTTGACAGCTGTACCCCATGAGGCTGTCAAGTCCTGGGAAGCTGTAAGGCCGTGTGTGTTTGGACAGAGGAAAGCACATGCTCTGCAGATTGACATTCATCGCTCCTAAGAGGCTCGGCCAGTTTGGGATTACAGCCCCCCCCCCCCCCCCCATCCACCATGGGACAACTGAACTGCACCGTGAGATTGAGTGAGTGAAAGGGGGCTCGGCCCTTTGACCCCTGATGAGAAATCCCTTAAAGGTTAGTAATGCACAGATTGGTATGTGCAGACTTTTTTATGCCAATGTCATTGTTTTTATTGTGGTCTATTGTACTTTATTTTATCTTGCAGCACTAAAATCTTCTTATAATACATATGTCTTTATATACTGTCCTAATACAAAGGCATTACAGCCTTGTTCTCCTCAGAGCACGTCCACTACAGATCAAGTAAAGCCGCTTGTTGTGAAAGTGCTTTTGAACAGAGGTTACATCATATGTGTTGGATTATTGGACTGTGCGGTAAATAATTACTCCTCTGTCTCTGTGTGGATCTGTGTGCAGATCTTTCTGATGCCCATTTTGTAGTAGGTATCCACTGCGGATGTTCACAACACAAAACCTTTGTGTGTACTGCCCTCTGCTGGAGCTAGGGTTTCCAATTCGGATAAAGAAACAGACTTTTCTATATCTTAGGACAAAAAACTCTTCAGCCGAACACACTTTTTAAATGTTAACAAAGCGTTTATAGTTTATACATCTAACTTATCCATTTATCATCATTAAACTGCATTTAGACCAACATAAAAATAAACTGCTAATGCATCTGGTTGTCAAGAATCCAGGTTTGTTTCCATCTTTGGCATCATTTACTGAAATTCTAACAACCTGCTGTTGTGTTATTCCTGTATCTAGCACCGATAAGCAGGCTATATATATCCCACCCTCTTTGTACATAGTGTTCTGTTCCTTTTCCTCATAATTGTGTTCAGCCTGATGAGCTGAGGGCCGCTCTGGGATGCTGTATTGTTGGATTGTAAAGTGCAGCTATAGGATCCTTCTCTTGGCTTGCAAGTATAATTGTGCAGAATTAGAATCAGTGCAGGGGGAGAAGCTTATTTTGAATTTCATCGGCTCCTATGAATGTTAAATACTGTTGCAGATGTATAATGTATGTTTTTCTTAGAGTTTGTGGAATAAACCTATATGTATAGACGTATAGAACTTTTTTTTTTAATTACAGCAGTTTGCACAAAACATTATCACACATGCGCAAAATATTTTCATCGCTGCAAAATATGAATGTGCACCAATTTTAATTGTTTTTTGCAAGTTATTAATACATATTCATAATATGTACAATATTGATATGTGATGAGTCAGAAAACCCAAAGCAAACTGTGGAAGCTATTGAAGAAGAAGAAGAAAATTGGTATCATTAATATTTATGTGTTCATTCTGCAGCAGTTGTTATTTCATGGCCGTGAGGGGATTTTCCTCAGTTTCCTCCCTCTAGTCTCATTTAATATTACGCAGCGTCTCCTCTCTAACATGTGACTCACTGTAAACAACAGTCCAGTCTGTATCTCGGATGTAAGCGATCTCTGCGGACAATGATAAGGTTAATACAGTCATCCTCTCAAACTTAGTAGATTTAAGATAATGAAAATGACTGTTTCATGGTGAGTTGTGACTGTAGGAGCATCAAGTGGTATATGGCTGAAGACCTTTATTAGTTTCTGACTCAGAATATAAGTTGATATATAGTCAAATTAAAAATCAACTGTATCAACATTTAACTCTGAACTTTTCAGCTCAAATATTCTAAATGAAATGACGATTGGGGAACAGATGGGGGAATGAGTGTATTTTATATTAAACATTATTTCTCAGTCACGCGTTTAACTTCTCTGGATTTATATGACATGAGAAAACTAAATCACTTTTTTTCATGTAGGCGTAATGAGGAAAACATTTAAGAGACTTTAAGAGGAGAGTCTTTTACACAAATCCCATATACAACAAATCCAGCTGCTAAACATTCTCATCCACTTTTACCAGTCAGAGCAAAGACAAGTTAAATCCTTGTGTTGTATTAACATTTCTATTCACATTTTATACCACCCCTGCTACAGCTGCAAATGACTTTACTCTCTTCATCCTGAGTTTCTCCATTTTCTGTGTCATACTCTGCACTGATGCTCACCGGCCTGTGCTAAACGTTACAGATGGAATGTGGAGGACAGATATGCACTGATTTGAATATCACAGCCTGGAGGGACAGCCGTGTGTATCTCCTGCATGCTGTTCCCTGCAGACTATACACAGATATCTCTCTCTCCCTATCTTTTCATTATCCATATTCAAAGGATTTCTCCCATGCATGTAAAACACATCATGTTACTGCAGGAAGTAGCCTGTCCAGTCTTATGGATGCACACACAACCCTGAATGGAACACCAGCTTGTTCTTTCTTTCCTGTGTCTCATTATTTTGTTTACAAATACATTCAGACTCAATGGCGGGTTTTTATTGAAAATGTTGCATGATTGTGAAATATTCTCAACGTTTAGTAAATTAGCAGATGAGATGTGTGCATTGCAGTACATCTGACGCCTCCTGTCCACTCAACATGTGACAGTTAGGAAAATAATGATTTGCGTGCACAGCCATACCATATGTATATATTTTACATATGGCTAAAGTCTCAGAATATAATGTTATAGAGAAAAACTTCAGCATAAATTTAAACATGAATCTGCAGTTTAAACAGAAGCTACACCAAACACACAGACAGGACTTTGCATTGTCTTCCATTGATTGAGGACAGCCTGAGCAAAACCTAATTCCTAACCTTACCTTTCCGAACCCTAACTTTAACCTAACCAAAGTGCACATATCACCCCAGCATCCTTAAAATTGGAAATATAGTAAAATTCCCCACAACGACTGTATCCATGATCCAACCTTCGATATTATCACCTATTGAGAACTAATGTAAGAAGTACTATGATGTTTTTTTACTTCCATTATTTGAGCCTGAGGGATGTTGTCGGTGCAAAGCTGCACTGAACTGTTACATAATCATGAAGCACGGAGGTTTTGCGTCTGCGACATGGAGGAGCAGGTGGAGGCGCGGACATGCGCAGTGAGAGGCGCGTCAGCAGCATCAGGACCAGAGAGATCTCCAGGACCCTGCGATAGGAGAGAAGATGGTGGGAGTAAACACACCGAGGGCAGACCACCGCGACGTTTACTCAGACTGAAACAGAGCATTTCCACTCAATCCAAGTCGTCCAGAGGTTTTTTGGAGGAAGCAGGAGCGCGTAAAAGGACGCAGCAGGGAAGCGACGATAACAACCCTCGATGCCTCCGGTTCAGTCTTTACGCTGCTGCTGCGACAATAAACACGACAGGCTTGCTCTGGATAAATGTCCTCCCATCTGACGGGCTTTCTCGTGTGATGCTCGCCGCTTTCTAGTGGGATGCACATCAGTGTCTGGCCGTACTCGCTCTCCGTCGTAATGGCAGCTCTGTACCAAGGCACGGACGCTTCCTCTCCGGATAAATTTCTGGCCCTGAAAGACGTGAGGGAGGTGAAGGAGGAGACGACGCTGGATGAGAAGCTGTTCCTGCTGGCCTGCGAGAAAGGTCTGTTATTCATCTCTTTCCTCCTCCTCTTCCTCCTCCTCCTCCTCCAGTGTTTCCCCAGACCAGTATCCACTGTTTTTACGCACAATGTTTATCACAGAAAAGCTCATAGGCCTATTAACGTTGGAAGCTCAATGGGATGTTTTTAAGATAATGGAAAAGCTCTTATTATTGATTGCTCACAGATATCCCGGAGCATGCTCTCAGCGGGCCTGTTGTAGTCCAACATGGCCATCAGCTCCATCAGTTACAGCATGGTCATTGCACAAAGCAAACTGTCAGACCACTTCTTTTCCCTCCTCTCACAGCTGCCTATAAGCTGGCCACTGTGCAAATCTGCCCACAGGGAGGAGAGGGTTTCATTGATAAGAACATTGTGCAGGCAGATGCTGTTGCCGACAGCCGCTGCAGCACAACCATATAAAGTCTCTGTAAACATGGCTCCATCGGAGAAATCCTTGTCCTTTGAGGGAGATGTTATTGTTACACCCGACTCGAGGGTCGAGAGAGGACTGCTTGAGTATTTGCCTCATGACAGAGGATGTGTCTGTTTGGCACCATCCTCAAACGATACTTCATTGCCAGAATTTCCCCCCGGTGCTCTGCAGGTGACTACTACATGGTGAAGAAGCTCCTGGAGGAGAACCGACGCGGCGAGCTCAACATCAACTGTGTGGACGTGCTGGGCCGAGACGCCGTGACCATCACCATCGAGAACGAGAACCTGGACATCCTGCAGCTGCTCCTGGAGCATGGCTGCCAGGTATAAACACAAAAACCCACAGTCAGCACAAAATAATCTATGCACAAAAAGTCACTTTTTCCAAATTACAATAATCTGACTTTGTGGTTTATTTGGCGTGAAATCTTCTGTCTGAAAATGATGCTTTTGTTTCTTCAGGCGACAGATGCCTTGTTGGTGGCCATAGACTCAGAGGTGGTGGGAGCTGTGGATATCCTCCTCAACCACAGGCCCAGGCGATCGTCCAAGCCCTCCATTGCCGTGAGTCTCCTCTTTCAAGAACAACACCACAGATGAGATGAACAGGCTGGAATAATCCATATTTTCTTTCTCCACACTATTCACACTTACATTTCTATATCTTTTTTCTTTTTCCTTTTTAGAAACTAATGCAGCGGATTCAGAACCCGGAGTATTCCACCACCATGGATGTGGCTCCGGTCATCCTGGCAGCACACAGGAACAATTACGAGATCCTGACCATGCTGCTGAAGCAGGACATCTCGCTCCCCCGGCCCCACGCCGTGGGCTGCGAGTGCACGCTCTGCAACGCCAAAAACAAGAAGGACAGCTTACGACATTCCAGGTACAGAAGGTGTCACAGTATAAATAATGTTGACTCGGCCCAGACGGCTGCATTAAGCTCCTGGTGATCTGAACCAGAGGACAAACGTCACTCTGATTTATTGTCACTTTCTTCTTGCCGGTAATAGCTGTGTTATTTTTACATGATGATTGTTTTAATCCTCGATCTGGTATGTTGGAAAACAACTGTGAATCATTCGTTCCGTCAAGCAAGGTGTTCGGGAAAGCTTGCAGCTCCCTGTTTTATGATAGCATTGGCTTTTGAAAATGTCAGCTGTCTTCTCGTATGTTTTGGATTCTCAGAAATCCCAGAGTTTCCTTTGTGGAAGTATGGGTGCTTCATATATGAAACCATCTTGAATTCACAGCAGAGATTTTGCTGCTCTTCCTCTGCCTGGTATTTTTATTCTCACTGCAGAGAAGTGTAACCTCCCACACAGTGCGCTAACTGAATCAGTCTGCAGTTTGGCTTGTAAACAACATGCAGGTCAAAGCAGGTACCAATGCAACAGCTACAGGACTGAATGCTTCTCCCTTTTCCTCGTTCTTGTTCCACCTGCTCTTCCATCTTCCATCTGGTTTTTGATCCCTTTTTCATCCATTGGTCCTCGTCAGGTTCCGCCTGGACATCTACCGCTGCCTGGCGAGCCCCTCTCTGATCATGTTGACCGAGGAGGATCCCATACTCAGGGCTTTTGAGCTGAGCACAGACCTGAGGGAGCTCAGTCTGGTTGAAGTGGAGTTCAGGTATGAGTGGTATGCCACTGGTCCACCTCCGTCCGTCATGTCTCATTTCTTCTCAGGCACACATAGAGGAACATGCCCACAAATGTGTCCAAATGCGCACACAGTGATAGTGTAAACCCTTCATTTACAGTCTGGAACAGATAAGAATACTTCTAGTTTGATAAAATCTTGCTTCTACTCCAGGAATGATTACGAGGAGCTGGCGAAGCAGTGCAAGATGTTCGCCAAGGACCTGCTGGCACAGGCTCGAAACTCTCGAGAGCTGGAAGTTATTCTTAATCACACGTCCAGCGAGGATCACGTTGATAAGAGAGGCTTGTTGGAGGAGCGCATGAACCTCAGCCGACTCAAGCTCGCCATCAAGTACAACCAAAAAGAGGTCAGAGGAACAACGTGCACGTTTGAATGTCAATATCAAGCCACGGTACAATATGCATTCACAGATTAGTGGAGAGATAATTATCCAACTCCCCATATTATGAATATTCTCTTATTTGCCGTACTTCATTTTGAACATCTGCTCCAGTACACCACTGCTTGTATTTGGGAAATATGAGTTTTACAGGATGAAGTACTTTCCTTGAGGCAGCAGTCAAAGACACACTAAAGATTGAAGTTTGAAGCTCTGGGGCAATTTACAGCTGGGGTGGCTCAGTGTGAAGAGTTTGACTCATATATCACAGCGCAGTTAATAGCATACCGTTGTTTCCTGTCGGGGAGATAAGACTGATAAGGTTCTTGTTCAGGCTGCACCTCAGAGAACTAATTCGTAAAGCCTATTCAGTTCTTAGCCTATAGCATGTTTGTGTTTGAATTCTTATCGCAGAGAGAATATTGATACATTAAACTGTGTGTGTAACAGTGCATGTAATAAAAATACTGACAGCCTCTGTTTTACACCCACTCTGCTTTTGTATTCTACAACATAGAGGGTTATAGACAAGATAAGATACGATAAGATAATGTATTCCTTGTGCCAGCTTCCTCCAAGAGTAAAGAAACTGTACAATATAAAGTGAATAAGTATAAAGTGAAAATAAAAATATGATGTATATATGGAGTAAATGAAGAGCCAGTGCTGAATAGAAATGAAAATAATATAATTGATACTAAACTAAAGTAGCAGTAGAAAATAGAAATGACATCAATAATGGAAGTAATATTGCACATGATATGTAAATAAGTCTATTTGCTTAGTTGCTAAGAGATGTATTAAAAATATTAAAGTGTCTCTGTGATGAACACGAAGCTGCAACTTCAATCATCTCATCCCAGAGACATGTGAATGATCACCCATTGAAAATGAACAGAAATAGCTAATTCAATTCATTTGTCCTGTTTATAAGTTCAGGCAAATCTGATTTTGTCGTCCCTTCTAGTTTGTGGCTCAGTCCAACTGCCAGCAGTTCCTCAACACCGTGTGGTTTGGAGAGACGGCCAGCTACCGTCGCAAGCACACCTGTCTGAAGATGGCCACGGTGCTGAGCGTGGCCATGCTCTGGCCGCTGCTGTCCATCTGCTACCTGCTGGTGCCTCGTTCGCGCGTCGGCCAGATCATCCACACGCCCTTCGTCAAGTTCATCATCCACAGCGCCTCCTACTTCACGTTCCTGCTGCTGCTCAACCTTTACTCTCTGGTCTACAACGAAGGCAAGAAGAACACCATGGGCCCCGCGCCGGAGAGGATCGACCTCCTGCTCATCCTGTGGATCATAGGTCAGATTTTTACCCAGTTCACCACATCGTCGTGTGTGCAGAGAGGACGTGTCGTGTACTGCGTGAAACTAAGTAAATTGCATAAAGGAATGAAAATGAGAGATTCTCATTGTGGCATCTTCCAGTATCTTGTATCTATAATCCCATCAGGCAGAACATGACAAACAGCTGTTACTATAGTGAATGACAGAGAGTCTGGTTTGACTAGATTAAATCTCAGTTCTGCTTCTAATTGAGCTCTATAGAAAAGAACTGCAGCTTCTTCTTTCTCCCCTGTGGTCCACCTGAGTGCTGGTATCACCGCACTCAGCGCGCACACCGACACACACACACACCGACACACACACACACACACACGGACATGGGCCCTCTCTTCGGTTGAGGCTGGATAGTGACAGACAGAAACCCACTCCATCTCTCACTGGGGAAAAGCTTCTCTACCTTCCTCCTCTGCCAAGAAACCATTAGTATGATCATTCACTTTGTCTTTAATGGCTCTGCCTCCACAGCACAGATATTTATCTCATGGCTGCATCATCCTGCTGCTCCACCAGACACACAGCACGGCGACGGCAGCACATCGGTCCAGGATTCACCGCTATCACTGCCCGACTGATATACTTTACCGATAACTGCAACAGACTACGGTGGCCCTGAGGTGCACATCACGACGGCAAATACAAATACAATGGCCAATAAGAAAAAGCAAAAAAGCAATTAAGAAAACACAACAAATAAGAAAACTTAGCAACAAATCCATCAAGCGTGTTCATACCTTTTCCATTAGAAGTTAATGCTGTTGTGTTTTGTGATTTTTTTGTTGTGTTATCATATCTGCTGGTGTTTCTTGTAATTTTTTACTTCAGGTCCACGATACCTGACATCACATGAACAGATTTAGAAGCAACTGACTTCTATCGTTCGAAGTTACGAGGATAGTTGCGGTGTCATTTGCAGTTTATTCTCTGTATTGCAGGAGTGAGATCAGTTACGGAGTCATTAGAGCGTAATGGGTTTCTACATGGGATGAGATAACTCACCTCGGGGGGCTGCAAAAGAGCAACATCAAAGATCAATTTTAACACGTTCAGCAGTTTTATTCACTGCAGGATGTGATGCAGTAGTGCAGACTTCACTCTCTATTGTCCCTGCAGCAAGACAAAACTAATTCCAAAATGGGTTAAATAATAAGAATCAGACTGCGCTCAGACAAGTGTGTGCTAATGTTATCAGGATGTGAAAAGGAGCTATTACAGCTCTAAACATGTGCTGGGTGTCGATAGGCAGCAGCCACATGTCAAATCAGCTGCTTTTTCCCTCCATCCTGTCGTTCCCCTGAGACTCCAAAGTGGAAATCAGATGCTGAGAGAGATCGTGCGTGTGTGAGCTGGTTCATGGATGTGCATGTGTTGTAATGTGCACTTGGATTTCTGCGTGAGGACTCAAATCCGGTCTTTAGGTAGAAACGCACGGGATCCGACTCAGCGGGCGGAACAAATGGAAATCTTCCAGAGACGGAAACAATTCATGTGTGAAAAAAGGGATTTCTGTGCCAGAGCCTGTCACTCATCTGCTTCCTGAAACAATGGAAATCAATAATAGAACAGTCACGTTCAATCTATTGTCATAATTTGTGTCTCCAGGCTGAGACAATATGTCAAGCTGTCAGTCGTATGTTATTATCCTTTCTGTGCATTTAGACTTTGCACTTAGTCCTTCCACTTGGACAAGAGGAGACACAACCACTTTTTTAAATTCCACACACTTCCCTAAATCCTGCAGATGACAAATTTTCAGCACATTAATCTCTGATTATCCGTCTCGTACATTCCTGTTCCTCCCTGGAAGCAGTTTTTAAATGTTTGAATGTGCGTGACGATGGTGAATTCCTGCTCTCTTGCAGGGATGGTGTGGTCGGACGTAAAGCGTCTGTGGTACGAGGGGCTGGAAGACTTTCTGGAAGAGTCGAGGAACCAGCTGAGCTTTGTGATGAATTCCCTTTACCTCGCCACCTTTGCCCTCAAGATCGTTGCTCACAGCAAGGTACCCACACACTTCGGATTTAGGGGAAATATCATGTGTTTTTCTTTGCTGGCTTCTTATAAGATTGCAGGGAACTGGATTCATAATGTAAAAAGAATAATTGTTGTTACTGACACAAAGGAAAAGGGCAAAGAATGTATCTGTGGAGAGTTAGTATCATTTTTGGGATGTTTGTCATGTTTTTCACAGTTCAAGAATATGGAAGACACCGAGAGGAAGAACTGGGACGCGTTCCATCCCATCCTGGTGGCCGAGGGCCTGTTTGCCTTCGCTAACGTTCTCAGCTACCTGCGCCTCTTCTTCATGTACACCACCAGCTCCATACTGGGGCCGCTGCAGGTGGGAGAGCAACACACACAGACACACAGTCTACATCCTCACTACTACACTTCATCTTAAAAATGCACCACTGCTCCTAAATCAAAACCTGCCACACCACTCCAGAGTTTTCAAGCCCCTACACGGAGATGTGGCCGCTTTCAAGTAGTTCTGATTTTATAGCTTATTGGTTTCATTGTTAGAGGTGTGAGGACAGTCATTAAAAAGTTGGGATGGTGATTCCTGTAGCGATCGTGTACTTTAAGAAACACTTTGGATGAGAAAAATAATCCAATTCTTATATAATGGTTAGAAAACTGCTTCCCCATCACTCTCTGTAACCCCACCACTCACAAACACGCACCACCCACTCTCACAGTGAAGTGAGAGCTCTCAGGGACAACAACACCAGCTGTGCTCAGCAGAATCAGACCATCGTCGTGAGTATAAGCACCGAGCACGGAGGCAGCAGATGAATACGATGCAATAATTTACCCATAAATAAAATTAAGACATCATCATAAAGCTCAGCGGCATAGTTAACATATGCATCATTGTTTCGACCATTAGGGTGAATGAGTTTACAGAAAGTGATTATTCAAACTATCTTCAGAGCTAGAGGAGCTCAGTTAACCCACAACACATTTTAATTATTTTTAATCACAAACTGGCATATACATCATTCCCAACCCAACCATAAATCTGGCTGTGTGAGATTAAAGCGAGGAAAAATAAACACTACTCACATACTATTTTAAAGATCCTCTGCAGGATGAGGAAACATACTTTCACATAATTTTAATGCCAATCAGATTCATTGAAAAATGAGAACCAGGTTCCATAACTTGGCTTTTCTTTGAAAGAGTGTTTGGCTGTGGTGCATTAGGAGCTAATGTTTAACATAGTGATAAAGCATCTTATTTTAATCTCCTCCTCATCATAAACCAACATTTATCCATTGCGAGCTCTTTTTTTTTTTACTGCTTTCTTACACAACTACAAGATTGTGCCATGTCTTTAACTCGAGTGTTATCAATTACAGATGTTGTGTTTGTTCTTTTTCTGAGGAAAGAGCAATATTCACCGCCAACTCTTATGAATAGTGAATATCTATAAAACTGTGAGAGTAAAAGCCGAAAGCTTCTTACATTTTATCTCTTTATACTGATCAGATTCAGGTGGGCATTCAAATACTGTATATATAAACTTGATGTATTTAGAAGATAAGATAAGAGAATCCTTCATTAGTTGCACAACGAAATTTGTAGTGTTGCATCAGCAAAGAGGACGGAACAGTAAAAGTAATAAATAAGTACAAATGCAATATAAACAGAAGGAAAGTAAAAATATGAGGATAGATATAATATACACACTGTAAGCAGAATATATACATACAGTGTAATGGTTGGACATTGGCCATTGAATTGCACAGATAGAAATGAGCACTGCACGGTTAAATTAGTTAAATCAGAACTTGGTCACTAAAAGTTCACGTAGCGAAGTGTGAGTTTATAGCTCTTGTTATGTCTCAAGTTTTTCCAACGTCCCAGAAAAGCCAAAAATCTGGTTTGCATATTTTCTACTTGGGGTCCATCAGTTCCAGTGCCATAGGTGTCGCTTTATATCAAATCACGATGTGTTGTTATCATCCAGCCAGCTGGCGTGGAGAGTTTGAGAAGTCGGCCAACGTCTGATTTTATGCTGACAGCCTTTAGGGTCTAATTGTTTCTCCACATGTGACTGAACCACATATAGAAATGTTCAGGTATGCAGTGAGGCCAGTGCGTTTGTAGAGATGCCTTCCTGTCAACAAGCCGAGGAGCTGTTTGTGGTTGACTCATAAAACACTTAAGGTTCCCCTTAAGATTCTTAATGAGGACTTTTCAGCTACAATCTTCTCCATCGTTCTGCTCCCCTTCACGTTTTTTTCTTCTCCCCCCTCCTCCCTTTCACTCACCCACTATGTGACATCACCGTCTGGCTTCGTAGGAATGGGAAAAATATTAGCTTTGGAAATAAATGCCGCTGTGTGTTCGTCGCCACATCGCAGACACACCTCCCTGCTAATGCACACGTACACACACGTACACACGTACACACACACACACACAGACAGTGAGTCAGTACTATGTGGGATGCAGCAATGTTGAGTGTCTCTGATTCCATCCTTCCTAAGGAGGCCAGCTCATGTTTCTGCCGGGGAGTGCCCCCTGTTGAGGTTGGAAAGAGTGATTGAAAGTGTGAGTGTGTGTGTCTGTATGTGTGTGTATCACCAGTGTGCACGTATTGAGCTCACTCAAGGCTAGACTTAACCTCACTGACAGTATTTATATACCATAACCAGCAGCCCACCAGGAGGAATGTATGAGCAGGAGGAAAAAAGCTTAAGTTCCACAAACATCCACATTCTAACCAAGTTCAGAAAAGTGCAGTCACACTGTAAATGTGACTGAATCAGATATTCTTAGCCATTTCAAAATTTCGGTTTAGTGGATGCTATTGTTCCACAATGTTCCACATTCATCCGTCCACACACGTACAAATTCATACAGCTCTTTCTCCTGTTACACACTGCGAGCACAGCCATGAGACGCAATTTGCGGCTCAGTATCTTGCCTAATGACACTTAGGCATGCAAACTGGAGGAGCCAGGGATCAAACCACTGGCCCTCTGATTAGTGGACGACACCCTACCCCTAGAACATTTTAGACGAATAAACACTTTTCTTCAGCGTAGCAAAATTTGAGTGAAAATGTATTTATTTTATAGTTCTAGTTCTTATTTTGTAGCTCTAGTAAAATAAAATCCTTAAACACGTGTTTCTTTTCATACAATGTTGGCAAATTCATGTTTATTGACTTATTTAGTAGAGAATGTTTGTGTGTCCTCAGATGTAGCTGAGGCCCCTTGAATACATTAGACCCCACTTCCAGTCAAGGTTAAGAGCTCCTGACCTGCCGCATTCCTGCTCTGTTTGTACAGTCACTAAGTTCGGCTGCTTGTCAAGCTGAGCAAGCAGGGAACACCCTCAGCTCCTAAATCCTAAATCAGATGTGTACAAAGTGGCAAAGGAATACACGGGGGGGGATTTAGACATGACAAGAGAATGAATCACCCTAATAGACTAGCCCTTCTCCTCAAACAAGCTGCCGGGTTTCAGGGCAAACACTCCGGTCTCCGTTCACCTTGAGGTGCAGGCGGAGTGGTCGTCCCTCACATTGGACACTGGTGTGTTTGTGTTTTCGTAATGGTGAACGTGCTTCTGACCTTGTTTGAGAATCTCAAGGTCCTGGTAAACAGATAAGCCACTCAACCCCATAAATAGCGAGTTCCCAAAGGTCCTAGAAGACCGTCTCTGTCTCCGAGCCCCCTCTCCGGCTTCCTCTGTGTTTGTCTGTCTACCCTCAGGTAGGGTGAGAGCACATGCAGCTGCCAGAACATGTTGTTTCTTTTTCCACCACCACAGGGAATCACTGCTCAACCAGAACATGGAGTTTAAAATAGCCACAAGAAGTCAAACAGTTTGCTCACACGGTGCTGAAAAAGAACCAAAACATCTAGAAGCGAAGAGCATTGAAGGGGGGAGGCCTCTCTACGTGTGCGTTTTACCCCAATGAAGAAATACTGTAATAAATCATGACGTCATTTATACCATATGACGACAAGTTATTGGTCTATGTAAATTAGCTGTGGATTATGTCTCTAATGTTATTGCTCGAAAGAGTTCATAAATTACTGCACTATATAACATTTGGACATTTTCAATCATATCATTCATATCAATTATCAAAAAAAATATCTAAATTTTCTCATTTGCAGAGATATCATGGAAGAGATCTTTGCTCGATCAACAAGTTTGGTAAAAATACATTTCTGTGCTGTGGAAAAATACATGAGTGGACTTGCGAAGGTTTTGAAGGTACCAGTCCAGTAAAGACAACTCAAAAGTAATTCGGTTGAAATAAACTTAAATAGCTAAATAAACTACTCTACTGCATTGTTACATACACATTCAGTTTTTTGTCCAATAGCAAAAGATGGAAATTAACTTATGCACATAGTTGTTCCCTTGTTATTAGCTGTTTTACTGCAAAATTAGCCAGGGGCAGCTATGCTTACACAGACTAGAACAATACTACTGCAGTATTTTCCTAACTCACATTTAGTAATTTAGTGTTATAGAGATTCATGTTACAGTCAGTTTCCTTTTTAAGTGTTAATACAGATGCAAACTACAGTTTCAATGATGTCAGCAGACCGTTTTTCACACTTTGATTTATCACAGCAGAAAAAGTGCAGGTGAAACTAATAACGTTCAAAATGTTGGCCCTGTTCCATTGAGGTGTTTCCTGCTGTTATATAGCACAGCTTACTATGACACGCACGTAGAAGTATTTTCCGTGTGTTAGTCTTTACTGTGTTTTTCCTGCTAAATGTCTAAATGGCTCCTGGGAAAGAGTAAACCTATTTTTGGAGTAATAGCAAAGCTAATTCTCACAGAAGCTTTTTGACAAAAGTGGCAAATCTAGTTTGCCTGCAGACCACATTACCCAGACATCCACAGGCATGGATCTCAGTGAATGTGATTTCAACCGTAACAATAGAAAGACAAAGACATCGCTCTACGTTTGACATAAAAACTAAAGAGGTTCAGAAAACATTTTACTCTGTAATAATATCAACTTATGTTACGGCACTTTCATATGAATTGTTTCCTCCAAACTGAATGAAAAAGGAAAAAGACCTCAGGTGCGTTACTGAGGATTAGTGGGAAAACAGAAAACTCATGTCCATGTGATTAAACCAGCTTGTAATCCGCAAAAAAAAATATTCATCTCTCACCAGATCTCCATGGGTCAGATGCTGCAAGAGTTCGGAAAGTTCCTGGGCCTCTTCCTGCTGGTGTTGTTCTCCTTCACCATCGGACTCACTCAGCTTTATGGAAAGGACCAGAAGGACCCAGACAAGACTCCAGCCAAGGACTGCGAGGGCATCTTCTGCCAGCAACAGAGCAACGATGCATTCCACACGTATGGGCCAACCTCAGCGTGTCATTCTAGACAGTGATGACAACAATGATGGATGTTTAGAATACTTGTCCAGAGACGTTTGAGACTGTTTGTATGGGGGATGATTTCACTGTCGAGTTAGAATTGGCTTCATCAGCTAACTGTGTTTTCCAGGTTCATGGGGACCTGCTACGCCCTGTTCTGGTACATCTTCTCCCTGGCACACGTGGCGCTCTTCGTCACCCGCATCACCTACACAGAGGAGCTGCGCTCTTTTGTAGGCGCCATGATCATCGGCACCTACAACATTGTGGTTGTTATTGTCCTGACCAAGCTGCTGGTGGCGATGCTCCATAAAAGCTTCAGACAAATTGCTGTAAGTCATTTGCGATTTCACAATACTATCCAAACTGTTTTCATTTACTGTTAGGATTCAAATTTATTGCAGTTCACTGAAATGTTGCAGATGTTGAAGGTTTTATTTCTTTGGAGCTCTGCTGCACATCTTCAGTTTCTTTTGAACCATCCTTGGATTTTTGCAAAGGAAAACAGAAAAGCTAAATCTATTCCACTCAAGGATTTCAACAGACAGAGTGTTTTTACATCTTCAGGATTTCTGTGTGTGAAAAAGTTCCTTCTCACATTCCTGTTCTCCGCCTTCTTTGTGGTTTATGGACGTCTGCAGAATCATGAAGACAAGGAGTGGAAGTTTGCCCGGGCCAAGCTGTGGCTTAGCTATTTTGATGACAAGTGTACGATGCCACCGCCGTTCAATATCCTCCCCTCCCCAAAGACCGTGTGCTACCTGGTGACCAGCATGAGCAAGTGGATCTGTTCACACACCTCGAAGGGGAAGGTGAATAGACAGAACAGCCTGAAGGTGAGAAGAATATTGTTTGTAATTGTTGAAAAAAATGGCTGCCTGTGCATTTTTGTGGTTTGAGATGGATAAAACAAAGCCCCTTGTAAATTGAGCCCTCTGTGCAATTCTGTACTCCTTGACTGTCTTTTCCACGCAGGAGTGGAGGAACCTGAAGCAGAAGCATGATGAGAACTACCAGAAGATCATGTGTTGCCTGGTTCACCGCTACCTGACCTCCACGCGGCAAAAAATGCAAAGCACAGACCAGGCCACGGTGGAGAACCTGAACGACTTGCGCCAAGACCTCTCCAAGTTTCGCAACGAGATGAGGGACCTGCTGGGTTTCCGGACGTCCAAATACGCCATGTTCTACCCAAGGAGCTAAACCAAGAAACACAAAGACAAGATATCTCTTCCCCATTTCCTTCTCCTCTTTGATAAAACCATTGCTTCCCCTGTATCTGGGATGCTGTGTGACGCGAGCATGTGCAAAAACTCTGCTCTTTGAGTCACAACTTTTAAAACCTGGAATTTAACAAGAAAAATATGTATTCTCTACCAAAGCCTCCAGACGTTTCCCTTCCTCATATTATTCAGCCCTTTTGTAAATAAGGAAAGCCATTGTTTTCAATAGAAAGACAAATAAAGATTTATGGAAAACTTCCCCCACTGGGGCTTTAATGGCTGAAACATTTTTCTGAATGCCGATCCTGCTTTTGAGATTTCTCTCCTTGAAAACTGATTATTGGTCTTAAAGCCAGAACACTGGCAGTTGTTCAGCAAACTGTCCAACAGTCCAGTCCATGTGAGAGTCACATTACACGCTCCTGATCCATTCCCATGATTCGCAGATTATATTTGTCTCCATCGATGTTTTTCTCCGTCTCTTGCACAAAAACTGCAAAGCAAAGTTTAATGTTTCAGGAATTTTATTTGGGCAAATGAGAACAATAAAATATAAATAATATTCACAGACTTTTTCATATGAAAATATTTCTCATTTCATACCTCTTCCTTTAAAAAATATTGACAGTTGAGTATGTGATGTGTGCTAATGGTGGCGCTTTGCATCTGTAAGCAAACTAAAGAAAAGAGCCTTAGCCAACAAGGTCCTTGTTTCACATCCAACCGGCATGAAAATCTATTTTTTTAAAAGAATCAGGTATATTTTAAATATTGCACTTTAATCACCACATTTTAAACTTCCTAACCCCGCCCATTAAAACTGAACACCTCTCAGCTGTAACGAATCACCTCTGAATACAAGTCAGGCTTATTATTTTGCCAGATATTGTTGTTTAATCAAGAGCACACTAAAGTCTTCAAGGAAAATTAAATTAAGAATTGATTTTAAATGAATGGACCCATTATAGGATTTCAGAAAATAGGAACATTTTAAATAATGTGCTAAATAAACATGAGTCTGTGAATGGCTGTACTCTCTGTATTCTGGGCCCCTGGCTGCAGTGTATGACAGGAATGTGACTATGCAGACTGAGTATGAATGGGCAGCGAATATAGATGGAGATTTCAATTAATTTCGCAACTGATTGGCTGAAGTTGCGAAATTAAGTTGCGAATTGAGATAAACTGATTAAATTGAAGAAAGAGGAAGTTCTTAAAGTTTTGTTTATTCTAAAACCACAGCAAAATTAATAAATAGGAAATTCTGAGTTCTCTTTAACTTTTTTTGCTGGCAGCTCTGCATCCAGATTCAGTGTTGTTTTGTTGGCCTGTGTTTGTGTTGTTGAGACGGAGGTTTGTTGTTTGCTTAATAATTGCTTCCATCCACGGCTGAGCCTCGGGCACAGCCCAGTCTAGTGGAGCTCCTCAGAGCCGCTGCAGCTCAGCAGTGCTTGTCTTTCAGAACGTTGAGTCCCTTCTGGTTCTTTGTCTTAAACGCCATGACGAAGTGCTGAGGGGCGATTTTCCCGCGGCCCTCCTCGTCCACCTGGCCCATGAAGACGTAGTTCATGCCTGGTGAGGTCACACAAAACAAACCTGAATGCAGTGGCGGAACGGCAGAGACATTCAGGGAGGCCAAACATCAGAATCTCCACGCGGCACGTGTATACGATATGTTTATATGCGTACATATAAACATATCGAATGCATCATTGACTGTTTGGACAGTGAGTTCTGCTCACCTCACACTTTGTGGCGAGCGCTATCCACAGCAGAGGAGGCAAACTCAGAGCCAAAGGTTATTCAAAACAGTCAACCAGGAAGTGCACAGTGATTTTCATCAGTTAGATAACGACCAGTTTTCTGCAGCAGTGATTTCATACATCAGAGAGCACATTCTCAAGAGCACTGAGACAATTTGATCTCAGCAGCACTTACCTCTTCTGATAAATGGGCACTTCTTGCACAAGATAATGATCTTAGTGCTCATGGTCTTTCCTGCCTGCTGGATGGCCAGGCTGCCTTCTTTATACACGTTGATGATGGAGACTGTGGCGTACATGCTTCCTCCTCTCATCACCGCCGTAATAACAGTGCCGGTTATTACTGTCACACACAAAGTGAGGGAAAATAAAACAGATCAGTATGAAAGGTTATGTGTATATAAACTGTACACTTTGGAGTACACACATTCTTATCCTTTGATTTTAGTAAGTACACTCATTTTCATAATGCTTTCCCTGACGCAAACCCATTAAGTATTTAAATATAAAAGGTAGGGTAAAGAAAACAACAATTTAGACGATAACACACCAGTGAAAACATCACTATTATTATTTTATATTAAATCTTTGCCAGTAGATCCCTTTTACCTAAATCTTACACCATGAACCTTTCACCCTCACACAGCTAACTTCCTCTTATGAGCTGTATCCCATCTTTGGAGTGCAGCCTGTCAGTAAAAGATGTCAATGTGAATTAACAGCATTGCCTCTCCACAGTTTCCTTCCAGGCTTTCATCGCTCCCTTTATGACCTCTTTATGGCTCCTTCATTTAACCCATGAACGAACAGCTTCTTCTCAAAAACCCACAAAATAAAACATTGAGGATTTTTTCTACTGAGATTTTAAGACTTGAGCGCTTAAAGAACGTGGCCTATGATGAAACCAAGTTAAAAGTGTGAATTGTAACCATCAAGCATAATGTAAACTGAACTGTTTTGAAAGGAGCACAGGTGACTCTAATACATTTAAGTAAAAAACTATAATAACCGCCCTGCAGTTGTTTGCTTCCGCCAACCAGTGCAGTTTCAGTCTATATACATTTTTTTCCCAGACTCATTTGACCTTTGACCATTGAAATCAGTTCATCTGAGTCCAACTGACAACTGGTCAAGATGGGAAAAGGATTCTTAAGATAACAAGTCTTGAGGTCACCTTAGCCTTTGACCACCGAAATCTAATCAGTTCATCTTTGAGGGCAGGTGAACACTTGTACCAACTTGGAAGACATTCTCTCATTGACCACCAAAATCTCATCTGTGAGTGCAAGTGAATATTTGGACTAAATTTGAAAGGCTTCCCTGGAGGTGTCCCTGAGACATCACGTTCACAAGGCAAAAAAAAAAACTGTGCTTTGTGAGGTCACAGCCGTTTGACCAACACCAAATCTAATCAGTTCATCTGTGAGTCTGAGTGAATGTTCCAAGGAAAATCCCTCCATGTATTCTTGAGATATCGTGTTCACGAAAGTGGGACTGATGGAAGCACAACACCCAAACATGTTGTTCGTGGAGCCGTAAAAAAAGTGGAAGATTAAAAAAGTGAAACTTCGAGAAATTGATTTACAGATTAATTTATCAGCATCGAGACTTGAACCCCACAATACTCTCTGTCTGTTCTGTGTGGTAAATATGTGAAGGGATACGTTTCAGTTATTTCCTGTTCAGACTGACAGGGTTCTCTGAGAGCACAAAAAAAATACAGTTTTATTGTTTGAACTTGCTGACCATGGTGGAGACCGTACATTTAGTGGTCTTAGCAGAGACAGAGGGAATCTCATCTCATTCAGCATGAATGAGATTCTGTACACGGATTGTACCAATATGTCTGGAATTCATATTCTTTCTGTTTCATTTCCCGTAAGAGATGAGAATGTCCAGAGAGCTACCTGTTGCATTCATTTATTATTTTTTTTAACTGTTGCTGTTCTTATATAAACCAGTGAATTGCTTTTGATAATTCCTAGTCTTTGACTGGACAGATCGCCAGCATATCGAAGGGGCAACATATAGATACAAACATTCACACCTATGCACAATTTAGAGTCTCTAATTAACCTGACCCCACATTGCATGTGCCTGGATTGTGGGATGAAGCCAGAGAAAATCCATGCAAACGCCAGTGTGGATTAAACAAACTCTTTTCAGCTCTCGATACAGAAAAGTGAAGTAACATCGTGTGCTGATTACGCCACCACATCACACGAGCTACTTTTTCTTTTCCCACATCGCCTTTCCTTGGCTCGTGATGCAAAATCAGGCGGAGCTCTTTGAAATGCCAGTCTAACGCATGTGGTAAACATCTCCGGGAGGAAAACATCAGAGAGCGCGAGATTAGCAAACGGGGGCAGGGCCTGAATCAACACGTTCATTTATCAACAGTTTGCCCACATTCAGGGGCTGAGAGTGTGTGTGTGTGTGTGTGTTTACACTGGAGGCAACTGTGTCCTACTGTACACACTCCTTCACTTCCTGACGGGCTATCAAGGAAGTCTTTGAGATGAGCGGAGGAAAGAAAACAAGAGGTGCAAAGATAGTGACACGATCAGGACTGTAAACTGCTTGTTGGAGAGATTTGGCTGCTGATGCTAATGTGGGTTCTGCTGACGTAAAACTTGGGAGGGTCTGCACTGCTCAGGTTCAGACTGTGGGAGATCAGAGTCTATGTAACAGTAGATATGTTCAATAATCAGCGAGCAAAGCTGGAGCGTATATCAATGACATTCTCCGTGGTTTCAATTAATTGCAATAAGCAGTGATATTCTTACCAAAATTGCTGGAGCAGTAATTAGTCTCCAGTGTTCCCAGTCTCTTGCATTTCTGCTGGCACAGGGCGACGGAGTACTTCAGAGCTGCGGAAACACACACACAAATTCAATCTCTGTAATCTTAACTTCCACTGTAACCATATGTAAACTATGGTTGCATCTGTTCCTACCGTGGTTTATTTACAGTCTCAGCCTCAGTGTAAAATAGCGAGACACAGTGAACATCTGTTTTTAGAGTCAGACATTTAGAATCCATGAAAGAAAACAAATCCACGTGAATGAAAGAAAATACGAGGCGATCGTCTAAATATTGTTTGAGGAGATGAGCCAACCAGAGAGCGGCGTCACTGTATGACATCACGTGCAGGGAGGCGCCAAAACAACCTGGTTTGGCCGAGGGAGAAAACAACAGTGTGTGTGGATGTGTGTCCGAAAATAAGCTGTGATTGTGGGTGCAGACACACGCCCACACTGTAGATGGACTCTGTGTCGTTGGCTGAATCTATATTTGGACTTACAGTGTGTTTGCACAGAGGAGAATGATGCAGCACAACTGCAGGTTTGGTAGAAAAATTCCACTGTTTGTTTTCCCACTTTTAACAATTTCATGTAAACGTGAATATTGTACTTATGTTAGCGACTGTGATAAAACACCGGTCTGATTCAGAGTTACAAATTAAAAGCAGTATAAAAGAGCAGGGAAAGACTTA